GTATGTTATGTCTCCCTTTGACTTTTCAGTAACTAAACCAGTGTTTATTAGGCTGTAGGATATAGGGACTGGCAGAAGCACCGACGTGGTCCAGAGCTGTGCAGATACAGGATGCTCCCACGTGAGTGCTGGGATGCTTTCACTCCGCTGCCTGCAAGCTCGGTGGTTATTCCCCAGCCCTCTGGTGGTACCATTCTCTTCACGGCTTCATCTGAGTGGGGTTTGGGGTAAATCTGATGGCTTGAATAGGAGCTGTATCTGAGCTACAGCACTCAAACTGGGGATTTCTGCTGTGGGAAAGACAACCAAATAAATGAATGAACAGTGAAAGATGGATGAGCTGGAATGAGCTGTGAACTGACAGCTTTGTGACCAGTTTGACTTATTTCCTTTTTGCGGTCTAAAGCTGAGTGCTTCATAAATTCTGAAGACATCAAAACTGTAACTAACATAACTGAAACCATCCTAGGATCGCTGGAAATTTAAAGAGCAGTGACTGTAACTAGAAGACAAGAGACAGTGAAAAGGAAATGAGTTCTCTCGTCAAAATGATATTCTTGGGTATTTTCTTCAGTTTTGACATTACAGGTTGAATCAGCACACTGACACAATTGTGTACATTTGGGGTCACACAGTGACTGTCCTACAATCTAAAATGGACCTAAAAGTGAAAATAGTTTCACAGTTTATGGTTCTGGGGTATTTTACTGACTGATCTTAAAGATCCTAGGATCCTCAAATACCTACTAACCCTCTCACACTGTCAGCCATGAGGTAACACACAGTAGAGGCCATTCGGCACCAAGCAGCCTGCTGGTCTCAGGGGCCATTTCGCACTTTGCTCACTGGGTGGACAGGAGGGCTGCGGGCTTTTCAGGGGGTGGAGAATGTAAAATGAGAGCAGCCGCATCGGGTCTGGTCAGAGCCCCCATCCAGTCCAGTGCTGTGTTTCTGATAGTGGCCAAAAATGGGACGAGCCATAAGAATGGGTCAAGCAGTTTGTAGCTGAGAGGAGTCCTGACCTTGTGTT